CATTTTGTGACTTTGATCCATCAAAGTTACGGAAGTTGATCGATTTCTATCCACATGATTTTAGCTATAAAGATAGGTTGCATATTCTAAATGAACTTTCGGTTTACCCCAATCATATGCAACAAGATGGAAGATTTGCAACTTTGAAGAACATATCCGACCTTGCTAAAGTGATGGTGGAAACCAAGATGCATCAGTTCTTTCCTTTGATTTATCGTTTAGTGAAATTGTCATTGATTTTGCCGGTTGCAACCGCAACGGTGGAGAGATGTTTTTCTGCGATGAAGCTTGTAAAGTCGGATTTGCGGAATCGGATTTCGGATGATTTTCTAAATGATTGTGTCATTTGTGCGGTTGAAAGAGAAGGATTTTCAAAGATTACAAATGAAAATATTATCAAACGTTTCTTAGCTATGTGTCCTCGTATATTTCAACTGTAAAATGACATTTAGTTGAAGGTTTTAATGTTATTATACTTTTTCGTAAAAAAAAAAATTATTATTAATTTCAATTCGTCAACAGTCAACTATGCACCCACTCAACTTCCGGGCTTCCGGGCTGGATCCGCCACTGATTACCAGACAAACCAAAACTAACTTTTTAACTAAAGTTTGATTTCAACTAGGATGCCAAACACAATCTAAGTTAAAGAACTTGGAAAATGTTCATATCATTCCATATACAAAATCAATGTTACTGTCAACATACCTTTCATGATTGATTTATTGTTTAAAATATACCACAAAAGCTAATGTGGCATCCAAAAATTATCCGGTTTAATTTAATCTTATCATGTACCTATGATCTTCTACTTGAATACTATATTGCAAATCTCAAAAACAAGTGTATAAATGGCGGTGGTGTCGCTATGATATGACGATGTTGAGGCATGACATCACAAAGTAGTCACCCTAAGTCAATGTTGTGGTGATGTTGGTCACTAGTACTTACAGTTTGAGAGTTTTTGGAGGGGGGTTATTTAAGCCTTTAAGGACCAAAGCAACAACTCGTTGTCTAGTTAGCCCTAAATGAGTATTGGTACTTAGCCACACACTCTGTTAGCATAAAAATTTTCCTCAAGAGGATGACTTAGGTACTTGGCCACACCTTCTATTAGTATAAGAAAGTATGTTGAATGATATTGATGGTGCCTTACGGTATGAATCTTACAGGTAATCTAGCTAGTTCACATGAAAGATTATCAAACGGGATTAATACTACAAGTTTGCAATGAATAGTTATAATCTAGCTAGTTCACATGAAAGATTATCAAACGGGATTAATACTACAAGTTTGCAATGAATAGTTATCATGCTTTCCAGGAGGAGGAGGAGGTTAAACATGTTTATTGCATAAATATTGGTTACGGAAGTAGAGCACGTGTATGATTATATGTTTATAAATAATGTAAATCCATGAATGATAATGTATCTATATAAACACATTGTGATTATACTAAAATAAATATGATGAAACTACTTATTAAGGATCTATTTTGTGTAGTCCCCATCGTTCTAGAAAGATTGTGAACAAAACTAAGCATAAGATATACTACAACAAACAAATCAATTAAAGTACATAGATATTTCTTATGTCTAACCCAAACTCATGCAAGAAACAAACATATTACCCCTTCTTCAAACAGCCGAGTCCATATAACTTCAACAACTTTTAACTGTATACCACACAATTTATAAAGCATCATTGCTTCGAATTCTATACATGGTTTCAAATACATATCAAGGAAAAAGTTGTACATAACCCGTTGCAATCGCAACACCTAATATAATTAAAGGAGGTAAAAGCACAAATGCTCCAATGATTGCAAAGAAATTTGTATCGTTTCTTCGTGATACTTCATTTAAATAAGCTTGCCTTTTTATATTTCTCTTTTGTGACACGGTTAAAAGCTTTGGCACTTTTAACTTTTTGCCCAATCGGAGGGTAAAATCGTCATCCCGATCGCCTACCAACTCAATGAGCTTTTCACGGAGTGTAAGTTCTACATAGTTTCCATCACTTGTGTAACCTGGTCACCACATTAACCTATATCATCACTCTTTATAAACATATGATGATTAAAAAAAGAATATTATAAGTGTAAATAGGTTGATTTTGGAATAACCTAAACCCAAACAACCCAAAATCATAATTTGCACAAAAAAGCTTGTTTAACTCACAAAGGAGTAACCTTTTTGGGACAAAACAGGACCGAGAGTAAGATTAATGTCACTAGGAAGCCTGTGAAAAGACATGAATGCCCTCCTATAGACCAAAAGAATATAAATTGTTGACCTACCACTAGAAGATGTACTTGCGCTGAGTTGATCCAAGAGATCGATCTGTGTTCGAGCAGAAGGTGAAGCTGCTGCTTGATAAAGGATAGGAAACCAAGTCAGAACCACATGTCCATATTCATACAAAAATTGCATAAAAAACAGATCTTTGAAACATGTCTAATGAAAAATTATATTTCTGTTAACATTTGTAGATATTTCACATGACCTTGTGATTATGTACAAAAGTTATGTATTTGTCTGATGAAATCTCCAATTCTACAAACAGGGGTATAATCAATAAGTTATAGACAACCGATTTTACACGTCTATACATCAATTTTGTACTCAACTATTGTTAATGGGATACTATAGTTATCGATCCTTTCTTAGCAATTACAGTAATTAACATCGATTTTTGAACTTTAGAATCAAGCACGAACCCTAGCTCTGATTACCGACGAACGACTGTGTTCAAATTTCCATGATTAGAAATGGAGTAAATTCCATGTATAATCAAACATACCTGAACTGTTACGACGATCGTCCTCCCCGATGCTTCCGTCTGTACCCTTTTCCGACAGAGCAGCCACCGTTACAGATGAGAAATTCAACGGGAAGATTTGTTTAGTTTTGTGAGGGATGACAAATGAATACTTGGGATGAATACAGACCCTGGAAGTAGTGTAGTTCATTAATGCCATTGTAAACGATAACAACCAGTCCACCCTGCGTTTGCGTTTCGGTGCTTATGAATTCTGTGTGTTTACCCTTTCTATATTGTCTTTTTCCCTGGATATTGTGTGGGTGTTGTTTAGCAAGAGAATTTAAACGAACCACAAATATTAATGATTTTGAATTATTAAAATACTCAAAACATCCTTTTCTTTTGGTAAAAAATATATGAAAAATAACTTAGGGTAACTAAGATTAAAAATTATTTAAAATTATCATTCAAATTTAGGCGGTGAATTAAAGTTTATGTGCAAATAATACCATGCAATTATATGTTTTGTTCTAGTCTAACCATGAAGTCACCGGTTATTCCTGGTAAATATGTAAAAATGACCGATTAAAATAAAATAATTTAAAATATGAATCATATGGATTGGAAAAGCTATTTTACGTGGAATTACCCATACCTAATCCAAATGTCGTTAAGAAAACTCTAACCCAAATAATACACAAAACATATGAGGGTTTTCACGTTCGCTAAGGGTTTTCCGGGAAGCTCGACCTTTACAATACCAACCATGTTTAAGACAAAAGGTTTGCTTACCATTGATGTTTACAACAAATGGATTTAAGTTCCTAAGATGTTAGTGTACTTCAACCCGGTGAAGATATCTGTTAGAGTAGATTTCAGAAGCATGGGGTTCAAGGAGTTCATCATACAACTTTGGAAATTGCTTGACCTTTATTTTGTATTTTGATGCACCTATGACAAAAACTGACCTTTATTTTGACAGTTTCAAAGGCTATCTATATAGTCTTTATAAGTTTCAAGGCTTGTAACTACAATACTAATATTTTTTATGAATCAAAACCCAGTTGTGTTTTGCACTAGATTAAATACCCATGTTGGCAGTTACCTTGTCAACCCTTTGAGGCCTATGTTTTTCACTACATTAAAACCTAGTTGTGACAGTTTCAAGGTAATGATTTGCTTACCCATGTTGACAGTTATGCAAATTCCTTGTGATAAAGGCAGAATGTTTAAGACACAAGGTTTGCTTGCCCTTGTTGATAGTTTCAAGACAATTGTATTACAACACCAAACATTTTAATGCATCTGTGACAAAAATACCACTCCATCGTATCTGGTGGTATTTAGGCATGCTTCTAGTGCTATGCATGTATTAGTGTATCTTATGGTTATTGGATGGAAAAAAATACCCCTCCATTACTAAATACCTAACTAAAGCTTCATCTTACAAATAAAGCTTCTTACAATTCATAACCTTCTATTCGTTTTGGCATATAGAAAATTATACCCTCTGACGGTTCTACCCTTGGGTACAGGTGGATGGTCATTGGTTTGACAAAATACCCCCCATCACTAAATACTTGATTAAAGTTTCAACTTACAATTGGATCCTCTGCAAGGCCAAAATAACGGTCCTACCCTTAGTTACAATGGTCATTTTTTAGTCAGCGTATTCAATCAGACTTACCATCAAACAACATGGTTTCTTACTCACTCAGAATTTCTTACCCAGACAGATCTTTCCCATTCTGTACTTTCCCGGTCACAAACTATCAAACGGAGCCTAAGGCATTATACTTCACGGAAATCTATTATAAAATCCCTACATTTTGACCACATTTTGATCGGAAATTGTATTTACTTTGATCATTTTTACCCGGTCAACAAGTCATCCACTTTCAAAATTTACACTTTTAGCCTATATTTAAAAATTTATTATAAATTTGGTTAAAATTTTACATTTGGCCAAGATTTCAAAATTTTCGTACGAATTCATCCTAAATTTAGTATTTTTACACAACTATTATTTCAAAATTTTGATTCGAATATTTTTTTTCTTTATAAAATCATATTTATACAAAAGAAAAATATTTTCACATAAAAACCTTCTTTTTTTCTATATAAAAACATTTTTGTTAAAAAACTGGTTTTTTATGTGAATAATATGTTACAATATTAAAAAAAAACATAAGAAATAAACAGTGGTCACATACTATTTTATTAACATAATTATATTAGATATTATTTTCCCAAAAACTTATAAAAATCATAACTTCTTCATACGAACTCCAATTTCGACGTTTTTTTATATCTTTGCGTTCATCTTGACGACTACTTAAACTTTCTTGTTGATAAGTTTAGCCAAAAACAATATATTTTCACTTTCATTTTTATAAACAAAAGGTTTATATTTATTAACTTTTATAAGTGAATTTGGGTGTTACAGTTTATTGGTTTATATTAAAATAAAAAATATTAAAGTGTTACAATTTATTGGGTGTTACAACTTTTATAAACAATATACGTTTTTTAGTTTTTAAGCAAAATCTAGCAAGCGCTTGCTAGATTTTGCTTAAAACTAAAAAACATATTTTCGAATAAAAAACCAAGATATTTACTCAAATAAAAAAGCATATTTTCGCATAAAAAACCAAGATATTTATAAAAATAATTTTTGACAGATTATTCGTTTTCGAATTATATAGGTGCACAAACAAAATAATTTTTTCATAGCGAAAATGTGTGAATTTTTTTTTTTTTCATCCTATGTGAAAATAATTTTTTCATCATTATCTGAACAATAAGAAAAAAAGTTGAAGTTGGTATGTTTACTAGATTTTATTTAAAAACTAAAAAAACATATTTTCGAACAAAAAACCAAGATATTTACTAAAATAAAAAATATATTTTCACATAAAAAACCAATATATTAAAAAAAATTGACATGTTATTCATTTTCGAATTATATAAGCGTACAAACAAAAATATGTTTTTTTTGTGAAAAAACTGTTTTTAATAAAGAAAATATGTTTTTTTTATAAAAAAATATTTTCACATAAAAAACATTCAATGTGAAAACCTTTTAGACAAAATCTACACAAAAAAACATATTTTCACGTATAAAAACTTTTTTTTAGCATAAATGTTTTGTAAAAAAAGGTTTTTATATAGAAAAAAGGGTTTTATATGAAAAAGATGTTTTTTTGTGTAAATGTGATTTTATAAAGAAAAAAATAACATATTTGAAAAATAGTGTTGAAAAAAATATGTAATTTTTTGGATGAATTTGTAACAATTTTTTAAAATCTGGGTCAAAATTGTAAATTTTGGACGAAGTTTGTAATAAAACTTAAAATCTAGGTTAAAAGTGTAAATTTTGAAAATAGGAGACCTGATAGTTGGGAAAAAGGATGAAAATGAATATAATTCACGGTATTCGGGAATTGATATAGGGACTTAATTGAATATGAGGTTAAAATGTAGGGATTTTATAGTAGATTTCACTTATACTTACCATATACAAAGATAAATAAGATGTTAACATTTTGGACCTTTTACAAGCTTTTTCAGCTGCTGCATCAAATTTGACAATGTACAAACTTGCATTTATTTCTACATTAAGTCATTAACAATAATAACCCTAAAAATATGATAAGCTAATGCATCAAATTTGACAAGCTATTACATTAGATTTGATAAGTTGTAATGTTTAGGAATGACATTAATACCTTTGAAAATATGACAAGTTGTTGAGTAAATGGAGGTTGTTTCTGCTTCATCTTTCTTATTTTTGGTTATTATTTCTTCATCTTCACCCACCCATTCAATTTTTGCATGTTTATTCAATTTTACTAAAGCTGTGATTATCCTATATCGTGGTCGCTATTTACGCAAACCTACAATTAGCAACATTCACCAACTATATACGGTACATGGAAACAAGCATGAGTTCCCTGGAATGCTATGTAGTATTGATTGTATGCATTTGGGGTAGTAATTGTTGGATTAGGTGTCTAAGCCCATAACTATAATTGGTATGTACTTGAATTGATAGCAGCACAGT